GAAGATTTCGAAATAATTGAAGAAAACATTCAAACTCATGACATCGACTCAGAAGACGAAGATTTGGAGCAACCCGATTCCAATCATAACTCAGCTCATGAAGACTCAAACCCACCAGTTATCGATATTGATTCTGATTCGTCTGATGAATCCTCTGATAGCAGCGATGAAGATATTGAAACTAGTCTAATTCCATTGTCTCCTCGCAAACTCCGAGATCGTACCAACAAAGTCAAACCCACAAAGTACTCCCATCTCACTACAGACCCTTCATCCTTCAAGAAAGCCATGACTTCGCCCGAAAAAGATATGTGAACAGACGCCGCTAACAAAGAACTGAATAACATTGAAGCTCATGAAGTTTGGGACGACATGTGGTCAAGACCAGAATCATTTCTTCACACTCTTTGGATTTTCAGAACCAAACCTGCCACTCTCTCATCAACTGAAAGGAAGAAAGCTTGTCTGTGCATTCAAGGATTCGCGCAACTTCCCGAAGAATGCGGCAACACCTTTGCTCCCACTGGAAAATTCACATCTCTTCTTATTCTACTGATGTTTGCGGTCGACAAGAAACTTCCTCTTCGCCAATTTGATGTAAAAAGTGCCTTTCTGTATGCTCCACTGAAGGAGGAAATATTCATCAAGACGCCAGAAGGATCGAACAGGAAGGCCCCCTATCTCAAGCTTAAGAAATCGCTGTACGGTCTCAAACAAGCGCCTGCAAACTGGTACGATACCCTAACAAAATGGTTTGAAAGCATCAACTTTCATCAATCAACATCAGATCCTTGCCTGTACATCCACAATGATCAAAACTCATTCATATTTTTTCATGTCGACGATCTCATTGTCGTGGGAAACGTTGAAGAATTTGAGGCTCTTTTTATGAATCGCTTTCCTAACTCGACTGCTCATGATCCTGACACCCTCCTCGGAATGGAAGTCAAGCAAGAACTAGGTTCAATCAAACTCTCTCAACCAAAACTGATTGAAAAAGGACTCGATCTTCTTCAACTTTCAACATGCCGACCCGTCAAGACCCCTCTGTCAGTTGCAGTTCAATTGAAAGAAGCAACAACAGAAGAGAAGGCCGAATTTGAAAAACTCAAAGTCAACTATCGATCGTTTACTGGCATTCTTAACTTCCTCGCCTGCCGAACGAGACCCGATCTAGCCCCTGCGGTCTCGATTCTCTCTAGTTTCAATCATGCTCCTGGAATCACTCACTGAAAAGAAGTGATTCACTGTTGGAAATATCTCGCCGGGACGTCAGAACTCAGCTTAAATTTGACCCCCGACTCATCAGATCAATCACAAGCATTGGAATATTTCACCGATGCAACGTGGGCTGATGATCTGGAAACTAGACTGTCTCGAAGCGGAACAATCTGTTTTTGGAAATCCTGCCCCGTCTCATGGAGCAGCAAAAAACAAAAGAACATCACACTCTCCTCGACAGAAGCCGAAATGAATGCGCTATCAGACGGTGCTCAAGAAAACCAATGGATTACATATCTTGTTGAGGAACTCTGGAAGGAAAAATTGAATCCCACCGAATTCCATGTCGACAATCAAGGTCTAGTTGAAAAAATAAAAAACTTTGGTTCCAACTCAAAAACAAAGCACCTTGATATCAAAGGAAAATGGCTTAGGGATCTTAAAAAGTCGAATCAAATCAATGTAAAATTGATACCTTCTGAGGAAATGGTTGCCGACGCACTGACCAAAGCCTCCAATCATCAATCACTTCAACGCCTCAAAGAACACTGTTTCTTAGTTCTTTTCTCACCAAATTGAGGGGGGTGTTGGAATTTCTCCCGCTTCTCACGCTCTATAGGCCGCTCTCTCCGCTCTCTTTTTTTCCTTTTTCCCCGCTCCGCTCACTTTCCCCCGCTCCGCTCACCTCTCCTCCGTTTCGTTCTCATCGCTCTCTCTCTTCATTTTCTGTATTTCTCCTTCTTCCTGTATGTCTCAGCCTCACGACTCCATCTCGACTCCGTCTCTCTTATTAGTGAATTTTTAGCGGTGTTAGTGGGTGATCCCACTACACTATGAAAAAAGTTACACTAACAGTTAGCGTAGTGGTACCCTCAGTTACACTAACTGTTAGCGTAGTGGTACCCTCAGTTACACTAACTGTTAGCGTAACTGGTGAAAAAGTTACACTAACTGTTAGCGTAACTGATTAAAAGTTACATGACCACATGACTAGCATTAGTCTACCCTGAAGACAGTGCCTGATTGGGGGGCCTACATCCAGATCCCCTTAATTGATCATGATTTTTTCAGTTAGTAATGTGGGCACTCAATTTTAGCCCCCTGCCAATTTTTAACACTTACCTGTAAGTCCACATTCCCCTTTCAGACTACCTTGAGATTATGGGTTCAATTCCCCCTCAGATTATACTTTACTGGGTTCCATTCCCACACTTGTTCAATTTCCACTTTCACATCATGTAGCAAGGGGGGAGGGGGGGGGGGGGGAGTTGAGGTGTAACCATGATGTATCACCAGAGTGTGGTGGAGCTGTTGGCATGAACCATGGCAACTACTACCCAACTAACCTTACAACCACAAGGGTCTGTAGCAAATCTCACCAGGAACATCCTCTGTTTGTTTGTCTCTACATCTTATGCTGTTCATTTTCTGCGGGATTGTGTGTGATCATAGGACATTGAAAATAATCACTATGGACCTCGGCCGTATCAGTTATAGGGACAGTTCACACAACTTGTCCATTGAAAACAGAAAGCAGAGGAAGAGGGTTCAAGAGCATAAATTCTCACTTGACATGTCAATTTCTCTAATTGATGATTTACACTACACTACATGTGTAGTGTAACTTCTACCGTAGTGTAGCGTAACTAGGCATGTAGTGTAGTGTAGCGTAGCTTAATTTGGTAAAAGTTACACTAAATGTTAGCTTTAAATCAGTTACACTATCTGACAGTCAAAATTTTGTTAGCGCAAAAAAAGTTACACTAACTGTTAGTTTAGCTGAGATTATTTGAAGCTAACACTACCAAAAAATTTGAGAGAAAAATTTACACTACACTAACAGTTAGCGTAGTGGGGTTTAGCGTCAGCTAACACTACAGAATTTTCAGGAAATAAAAAGGCCACTACACTAACAGTTAGTGGTCAAATAGCGTAGTGTAGCGTAGCGGCCCACTGTTGCTATGGACATTGATTCTATCAGGGCAAGTGGTGGTTTCACGTTTGCAGCTTATCGTGCCCTCTGTGTCAAAAATAAGATCTGTCAGCGTTGCCAAAAGGCATATGACGAAGCGCACATCAGCAACCGTTCTTGTCCTAACACGGAGGTTGCAATGAAAGACAAGCTTGACCTTTTTCTTCAACTTGCTCAACATCAACATCCAACCACTCATCTTACTCAAATTCATTTGGGTCCTCTCAATCCTGAACCTGCTCCTGCTTCTTGGGATCATATTGGTCCTGGTTTGTTTGCGGACATGTTGATGTATGGTTGTGATGCGGATGGTAACCCTATTGATGGCAAGTCTCTTTTCTCAGTTTCTCCTTCTCCAACACTACTTCCCCCTTCTCCTGCTTCTCCTCCTACCCCTTCCAGATTAGTCCTTCCTATCCACCTCCTTCACCCAGGTCTTCCCCCTCTCACTGCTATGGCTCTGGTGGATTCTGGAGCTGGAGATTCTTTTATCAATTCCAATTTTGTAAGATCAAAAAACTTAAGTTTGTCTAACCTCTCTCTCCCTTTTGCTTGCAGAAGCTTTGATGGGTCACCAGCTTCCTCCGGGGATGTCACTCAATGCTGGACCGGTCAAATAGCTGTGTCTGATTTTCTCAATCATTCTGTAGTCTCCTCTACTTCTCTACATATCATCTCTCTCTCTACTGTTGATGTTATACTAGGACTACCTTGGCTTAAGGCAAACCACGCCTGGGTCGGAGGCGCTAGTGGACAACTTTATTTCTCTCCTCCTGTATCACATATTTCTGCTTTTCCTGCATCTGCCCACTCCCTCTCTGTCGCTACCATCACTAATAATATTCACCTTAATCAAGACGAGATTCTTTCTTTACCTTCTAAATTGTGTTCCTTTGCAAATGTTTTTACTGTAGCCAATTTGCAATCTTTACCGCCGGTTCGACCACAATTTGATCTGAAAATTCAACTCAAGGAGGGTTGTACTCCCCCATTTGGCGGGTTGTATAATCTTAGTGAGTCAGAACGACACCAATTGTGGTCGTACATTGATGAGAATCTCAGTAAGGGTTTCATACGTCTTTCCTCCTCTCCAGCCGCTGCACCCATATTTTTTGTGAAAACTGATGGAAAAGATGACCGGCCATGTGTTGATTACCGAGGTATAAATTCTATGACTGTTTGGGATAGTTTTGTATCTACGACAAATATAAAAGCTCATCCTAAACCTAACCCTAAACCTAACCCTAAACCTAACCCCCCCTTGAAGCAGGGGCCATTGGATTTCCGGCAACTCCGCCAGGTCCCCAATGGCCCCACAATACCCAGGCAGATGAACTACTACGCTCAAACCTGTCCAGGTACTGTGCCTCTCCTGGGTTAACCCTAACCCCCTAACATGGTAAACCTAACCCTAACCCCAAAAACCTGCCCCCTAACCCCCATCAGTGTTGGATTAATTAATCCTGTATGTAGTACTCGTATGCTTATACTGAGTTATGCTTATATCAAGCCTACCATTACTACTGAGTTACCGGATCTCTCTTCTCTGACTCTTTCCTCACTGAATTAATACATATTATTCTCACCGTCAAAGTCCCATCGTGAGTCTCGACATCAGTCGTAGTTTCAGTCCCTGCAGTCCCTCAACAGGTTATGAGACCCTCTTAGTCTCGCTCTTACATACACTCGCATTTATTCCTCTTTATCAAATCCTCACCATCCCTTCTGGTTGTTCCCTCAAACTCGACCCCGTTTGAACTACTTTCTAGTCTTTCGACTCTCGCTACCACAATCGTGCACGATAACGATGTCAGGATATCACCAAATACAAAATGTTTCGGCTCTAATCCCCACGATCGAAGCTCTGGACGGCACCGCATCCGTTTTTCCCCGCTGGCGATCTCGGATTGAAGACGTTCTGGGAATGCAGAACACCCTCGACATCGTCAAAGGTACTCTACCTCGCCCAAAAGATGAAACGAAGGACGCTGCTCCGTATTCCCGTCCTCCCGATGCCAAAGGATACAATCCGAGAGAAAGCAAGGAAGACTGGGACGCCCTCTCGGATACGGCTTGCTCCCTCATCCGGCTCACTCTGACTGATCCCTTAGCGCAGCGCTACAGGAAAGTTAAGCCGGCATCGAGGCTCTTCACTACAATTGTGAACGCGTACGAGAAGAACACTCGGGCTCGACGCATACGCCTACAGGAGGCTTTTTGGACCGCGAAGCACAACCCTCACAAGCCAATCGCGCTATGGATTGGTTGTGTCCGAGTCGCGGCCGATGATCTTCTCTCCATTGGAGAGCTTCCTACCGATCGACAAATTACAGACCGACTCGTTGGTGGTCTAGACTCGTCCTGGTCGGCGGTTCGCGATTCCATTGTTTATACTGCGGTTGAAATGTCCTTGGACGACACTGTCGGAGCTTTGGAAGCGCACGAAGTTAGCCTGAATGGAAGCCATCAATCTGATGTTGTTTCGGCAGCCTCGGCTAAACACATCACCTGCTCCCACTGCGGCAAACGTGGCCATCGATCGTCTGAATGCCGAAAGAAAGCCTCCTCCAAGACCAAAGCCGGCGCCGCGCAGACCGTTAAACTAGGCGGTTACGACTCCGGATCGTTCGATGATGAAGACGAAGTGGGTGCCATCTACGAGTAACTGAACCTCGCCTGTCGTCAAAGTTTTTTTTATTTCTTAGTACGCTACAATCTATAGCCTACTCCACGGTGATTCTACTAGTTTTTTTTTTCTAGTACAATTTCCAATGTTGTCTCAATTTTTTTTCTCTATACTACTAGGTGCTGAATGAGTGGCTTGTTATCAGCAAGGGGGGATGTTGGATTAATTAATCCTGTATGTAGTACTCGTATGCTTATACTGAGTTATGCTTATATCAAGCCTACCATTACTACTGAGTTACCGGATCTCTCTTCTCTGACTCTTTCCTCACTGAATTAATACATATTATTCTCACCGTCAAAGTCCCATCGTGAGTCTCGACATCAGTTGTAGTTTCAGTCCCTGCAGTCCCTCAACAATCAGGGGATGGGGCCAGTCGGAATCGAACACACGACCTGCTGGATGGTCACACTACGGTCAATTAGGTGTCGCTGCGGCCCGCAGCGTCACCCAGACGTTTTGAGCCCAACCAAATCCTCACGCTACGTCAGCAGCAGGGACAACTCAAACCAGGAAACGACAGATCACATTCACACTCAAACTTAACACAAGTCCCCTCCTCCGAGGAGGCGCGAAGGGGACTTGTGTTGGAGAGCGTCCCTTCGGGACCCTCCGATCGAGAGGCTTATGTTAAGCTTGATTCACACTACATTACCTTTACAGCAGGTCACCACCAGCCTACCCCAAGCTCTCAGGAAGCTCGGATGATAACCAAGAAACAGATCCCCGATGAGCTAGTATTTGAATGGATCCAATCTTCCCTGAGACAGAATAATGATCTGATGGATACTGTGGGATGGCTTGCTAAGAGTGAGAGTAAAGAAGTCAAACAGACCACGGGTAAAGTCCTCCTGAACTTGGTCGAATGTCAAGACTGCAGAGGACTCGTCTCAAAATCTGGGGGCGGAAGGATGTTGATGAAAATCATTGCAACTCTGATGGTCTCTAGCAACAACCCAAAACCGCAACTTCCCGGCTTGTCAACAGCCTCAGATTCAATTCAACCCATGCTTGACCCATCCGATCTCCACAACATTCAAGCCTTGGCTGAGATTCTCATCACGACCAACCTGTTGCTAATTTTTGGACCTTCACCAGACTCGCCGATTTTGTTATTGACCATCAAACCGCTGACCACTCTATTCATCCACCCATCCTCAACACTCCTCCAAACCTTTGAGGTGTTGATAGCCTTGACAAATCTTTGCAGTCTTGGAGGAGGGATCCCAACGGAGGTAGCGGGATTGTCGCGGGTCTTGAGCCGCTTAGAAGAATGCATGATTGGTGTTTGGAGGGGCAAAAACTAAATGGTCTGACGGGAGGCTACCAAGCTTATCTGCAACCTGTCGAGCACCATCCACGTCCTCGCCAGTTTTGGCCCCCAATCAAATGAGCCAGCGGGTAGCAGAGGCTCGGCGCATATCTCAAGACTGCACATCCTGATCGCCTTATGCTCGAGCAAAGATCTCCAGACGGCCCTTGCGGCTGGGGGCGCATTGGCCATCCTCACCGAACATTCAAAGGAGATCTGTCAAGCGATGCTGAGCTCAGAAACCTTATCCTCCTCCATTCTCTTAACTCACTCATCCTAAAATTCACCCCTCGTGCTAAGGATAATAACCAATCCCAGGACTTGATCCAGTTGGTCAAACTTGCAACACCAGGAAATATCTGAGGGCAGTAGGTGTCAGGTGACATGAAGTGACATATGTTACGACTCCATTGTTACTCTGGTGCTTTTCTGCTCAAATGACAATTTGCCCTTTGTTGTCATCAGGGAGTCCCAACCCTTTGACTTTGAAGTAACACTGGAATAAAGGCGGAGTTAGCTTCATGTCACCTGATATGTACTGCCCTCAAATTTTTCATGGTGCAATCCATTCCATTGAGAAGTAGCCTCATTAAAACAAACACACACATATATATATATTATCAATTCTCGCAGCTATCAGATTGTCTGAGATAAAGCTACATGTTCTTTCTTGGCTCCAGATCCGAAGATGGGGCCCTTGACACGCCTCGTTCATCCGCTTGGATTTTTTGGGGGCTCTGTGAGATGAAAATGGCTAGTGTACATAGCCCCAGCAAGGGACTGCATCTCTCAGCTTGAAGCTGAGAAGTCCGGATCACATGAGCCTCTCCTACACGGTGCTTACTTCACCCAAGTCCAGCGAGCTCGCTCCAACAGTCCAAACTGGTTTCCATGGGTGTAGCTGCTTCTCAGAATACAACAATTGTAATCAGGTGTTTTCTTAGGCAAACAGCTGGAGGCTAGGAAGCTCCCCCCCCCTCGTCCCAGATCAATGACCGAGGCTACGCGATGTGGATGTTGTTGTTGAGCGTGAAGCAAATAATGTTTAGGATGTCCTTCTAAATTTATAGATTTGGACGACGGGAAGTCCTCCAATAACCTTGTTGGATATTTTAAGTCTGTGTAGACGCTTCATGAGCTTGTTGCAATGTTTATCCGATCCTAAATTCGAAGGAAAGCGAGAAAGTCTTTCTCCTCTTGTAACCGATCTTCCTTTCCTCTTTTATGACTTCCATTTTCAAGATATCTTTACCAACCTTTTATTTCTGTGATATCGGTTCTCTGGAGCGCAAAGCCAGATGCTATTGCGCAAGATCCATCATCAAATTGCTTTCTGTCGATCAACCTTGCAGGGTAAAATCGTAATGTATGGAGAGAGGGAGCTGAACTTTTTCCAAGCCTACAGCCAATTCCATCCCTCCATACAGCGCTTTGACAGTTCAGACAAACCCCGATTCTCAAATATATCGATCATAGGGTTGGCTAAAATGCCAATGAAAAAACACATAGCCAGAAGTAAGTTATAACACACACATCATCAACAACAACAAAAGATGAGTGAAATAGATATACATAAGAAATTGCTCAAACATCTAGATAACTACTGAAATCAATGACAAAAGAAGCTAAAGTATCGTTCAGAAGGTCAGATTCAGATCAAGAGAGGGAGAGAGAGAGGTAAATGATGGGATGCCTGAATAGATACCATAAAAGAGACAAAAGATATATGTAGTGCATGTATGAGCTTGAAGGGATAGAAGAGTCTGCCGAAGACACAAGATCGCAGGAATCATATGCATTCGGTGATATTCATCTACTCGTCGATGCTTGGCAGTGCATGGCGGGCATTACGAAGCAGATGAATAGCAAAAAGTTGAGTCGAGAGAGAGTGGGTGAGCTTCTTCCGAATAAGCGCTGAGGTGGTTGGAGAAGTCTTGAGTGGAATCATGTACACGATGGGTGCTGGTCTGTGCTGGTCGCTCGAGATGATTGGTGGTATCATGTACGAAGTGTGTGCTGGTCGGTCAAGATGATCATAGAGTGCTTGCTGTTGTTGCGAGGGGGCTAGTGTCGTTGCATGTTCAACTTCAATTTGGTCGCGCGACATCTGAATCTGGTGGGAAACGTCAGGTGACGCTGCGGGCCGCAGCGACACCTATTTGTCCGTAGTGTCAGATGTTAGGGCCAGTGCAAACCGCTGAGCTACAGAGACTTTGTCTCTGCCAGTGTTTTTGGAAATCTAGTCAGCTGGGGGACCCAGCTCCAGGCAGCTCAGAAAACATTAAGTGAAATCATTCCTCAAAACAGAAATGCCTCCACTCAATACTTTATCCCATATTATGGAATAAATCTAGTTACATATTTCCGATTCTCACAGGTATCCTAGGGAACGGTTGCTGGGCCGGCTCACAGATCCTGGTAGAGCCAAGTGTATAATTCCAATGGGATTATACACTTGGCTCTAACGTTTTGTTTCCAGATTTGCCCACGGCCCTTCAAGTGCTACTTTCAATTGAGACATCATCAACCATGACACTGATCACTGCGTGGGGTTTCATTGTGTGGGCACAAATTCAATTCAAATCTATTGTGTTTCCAAGAAAGCTTGGATCGGTTTGCTTTCTGAATTTTTTGCAACTGCTTTTTTTGTTGCAATTTATGGATTTACCTTTTCTGCTTTATTAATTTCAAATATGTTTCTGCCTCAGGTGTCCCAGGGCTTTCAACTTTCTTCTCAGCTCATGTGATGGTCCAGAGCTTGGTTGGCACCACCAATGGGGCAGAAGGGAGTGACTGGTGGTACCAGTGAGCACCTTCTTGGACCTACAAACTGCTCCAGTTCCAAATATGAGCCTTGTTTTTTGTTAATTCTCCTCCAAGAGCATCTACTGGAGCAACATGGCTCCGGAGGTGGTTTCATCCCCAAGTGTTATCTGACATCTGTCAAGATAAAACCCAACTGAGAAGATGAAAATATGGGATTTGTGAAATCAAATTCAAAGGATTACAAAAAATTCAAAAAGCAAACCAATCCAAACTTTCTTGGAAACACAATACATATTATGTAGAGAGTTTTCAAGGATACATCAACATGAGATACTATTATCAATTTCTCAATATGTGAAGAAAAAACAAGAGAAAACAAGTCAATCATCAGTCTACACATCACATCACAACAAAAACAAAAACAAAAACAAATCACTTTTCCCCACTGATCAACTTCACTTATATATAAGGAAAAGAAAAGAAAAAAACTAATCACAGAGAAACACTGATTGAAAAAAAATGGGAGGGGGGTGTATATAATGTGTATGTGGGAGGGGAGGGGGAGGGAGGGTGTATAATGATATGATTAAATTGTAAAAGGAAACAAAAAGACACTTGTGATAAATAATTAGAACATCTATTGAAGGAAAGACCAAACAAAAAGAAACAAGTTCCAAAAAAAAAAAAAAAAAAAAAAGATCTATGTACGATAAATGAATTTTATGGTTTCCAGTGTGAGTACGACATCGATCTCAAGGAATCAAAAAAAAAAAAAGAAACAAGAAGATGATGACCAAGGAATATGATATATGATGATGAAGAAGGACTGAGACGAAAGAAGTTTATCAAAAAAGGAAGAAGAAGAAGAAACGAAAGGAATACCAAGACCAAAAAAAAGAGGAATCAAATCGGTAAAAAAGAAAGAGCCCGACAAGAGCTAAAGATTTTCCTGATCCTTTCGAATAAGTCTCAAGCTACTACGTCTGGGTTCGGGCAACGCTTTAGCAGCCGCAGTAGCGGTCTCATTTGAGCCCGCAAGACTACTACCACCACGACCATGGTTATTGAGATGGGAGACCGACTGTTGTTTTTGTTGCTGCTTGCGTCTCAAAGATTGGATGCTCGCCAACAAGTTCGAATTGGTAGTCGTCGAGGGTCTTATAAGCGCCGGTTTGAGGGCTTCCTTGCTGGCTTCGTGGGTGCTCGATGTCGGAACAACAACGACGACGGAGGGGTTTTGTGTGTTGACGGAGACGGGTTGGAGGACGGCATGAGTCTCGTTATTGATCTCCTCTTTCCTCTGATGATGATGATTCTGATGATGGTTGACATCCTCATCAACGGCTTCATCCTCTCCATTAGTCGCGCTGATCTTCCGCCGAACCGATTGTCGTCCATTAGCACCGCCCGGGTTCTCCTTACTGTCGTTCCCTTCATCTCCTAACTGGCTGCGCAAACGCGACGCTCCAGCATCAGGAGCAACCGATTCATGTTTGCGCTTCCGGCTGCTGGACGGGATGGGTTGGCTCTCGGGGTCTGGGACAGACGTGCTGCTCGCTACGCGTGTCGGCTCTTCGCTAGATTCTTGTCCTAGTGCCGGATCAGCCGGCAGAGTGCTCGGTTTGGTCTTACTCTTCAACCTGTGAAAACGATAGAAAAAATGAAATTCAATCAAAAACCCGTGATTGGATTAAATATATATCCTTGGAAGACCTACTTGATTTTGAGAGTCTCGACCAAATTGGACAACCGTTTATTTTTCTGCATTTCATCGAGCAACCGATCGACAGCCTCTTCAGCTTCAAGAGACTTACTGTTGACACGATCCTCCAACTCTTTGATGCGATGTTCGGCAGAGTCGCCGACGGAGGAGATGCTGCGATGCAATTTGCTGACGGTCGCCAGGTCGGCCTTCAACAGGTTGATCATCGCGTCTTTCTCCTTCACTTCGCTCGTCATCTCTTCGACCATCCCGCTTGCTGACTCTAGCTCAGAACGCACTATCTCCAGTTCAGTCCTGCGATTATATGAATCATTTATTGTCAGCTTTTTCGGCCCTTCGAACACCCAAGTTGGAAAAAAAAAATCTTCATCAGTTCGACTTACGATAATGCTGGCAGTTGCTCTTCCAGCGCCTTGAATTCACTCAATAGAGTTTCGTATTTCTCGCTGGATTGCTTACTGAGGCTTTGCTCTGATCTGAGCTGCTCGAGCTCTTCAGTGAGGAGTCGGACGTTTTCATTCATCTGATCGAGCTGTTGACTCATCAACTCTTTTGCGCTAGTCGCCTGGGCCAATTCTTCCTGGGCGCGACTGAGATCGGCGGCGGAGTTGTCTTTGATTGCTTGTTGCTCTTCTGAGGCTACCTCGAGCTTATCTGTTAGCCCTCCATTCTCAGCTTCCAAAGCTTTCGTCTTCTCGAGCAGTTCTTTGACTTGGCTTTGAAGTACTTGGTGCTTCTCATCCACGACGGCCCGATGTTCGAGCGCTTCTGACAGTTTCGCTTTACTATCTTCTTGAATTTTTCGGTGGGCATCTTGTTCTTCTTGAATCCGGGCCGTCAAAACACTGACACTGTCTTGGAGCTGCATGTTGAGGGCCGATTTCTGCTCGAGCGATTCCTGGAGTTCGGACAACTGTTTCTCGAGGTTATCCCTTTGCGAAGCGAGCTCGGCTTCTTTGTTTTCTAGCTCAGCCTTGCTGTCGACTTGTTGGATTTGTAAGGTTTCTTCTAATTCTTTGACGGTGGCAAGGTGTTCCTTTTGAGTCGAGATGGCCGCCTCAAGTTGTTCTTCAAGGGCCTCGGTAAGTATCTTTTGCTGCTTAAGATCGTGGGTAAGCTGCTCTACTTCAGTCGTGAGCTGCGATGCTCGCTTCTCAGATGCCACAGCCAAGTCCTCATGGGCAAGCGAGTGCTGATCTTGAAGGTCTGCGATCTGTTGTTTATAGGTTTGGATTTCATCGTTCATCGACTCGATTTGAGAGCGCAGACCATCAGCAGTAGCTTGCAATGAAGTTTGCTTCTCAGCCGTCGTAGCTAAGTCGTCATTAGCAAGCGAGTGCTGATCTTGAAGCTCAAGGACCTGTTGCTTATAGGTCCGTATTTCATCGTCCATCGACTGAATTTGAGAACGCAGACCATCGGTAGTCGCCTGCAATGCAGTATGTTTCTCAGAGTTCGCAGCCGAGTCTTCATTAGCAAGCGAGTTCTGTTCTTGAAGCTGGACGATCTGTTGCTTATAAGTTCCGATTTGAGCGTCCATCGACTCGATCTGAGAGCGTAGCTGATCAGTGACAACTTGCATGGTATCTCTGGTAGCCTCCAACTGCTCGGATTTCTCAGTGTCTTGATCGATCTGGCGAGTCAAGTCCTCGTTTTGTTTTCGGAGAGAGTTGTAGGATACTTCTAAACTATGGAACTGATGTTGGATGCCAGAATATTGAAGTTCGAGGGAGGAGATCGTCCGGGTTTGTTCTTGTTCGACTTGCGAATGCAGCTCCTTGGATGCGCTCAACTCGGCACGTAGGTTCTCGATGTCAAGTAATGCGAGCTTCTCCTGCTCTTGATGGGCCACATAAGTCTGTAAGAGTTGTTCCTTTAACTCGTCGACTTGTTTGCTCAACGAGCTGATTTGGTCGAGCGCGATTTCGTAGGCTTGTGGCTCAACAACCTCATTCCCATGATCATCTTGAAGAAGCCCACTCTCAGCTTTCTGATCAAAATCATATCCTAAGTCTCCTCGGAGATGGGAGGCTAGACTGATGTTGGAACTCATGTGAGTATCAGCATTGAAGCTGGCAGCTTCTTCAGCCTTGGGTGAGCCATGAACTGCGCTAGTTTCAGCGATCTTGGCAGGCGAAGCCATGTGTTTCCAGGCTTTCAACGCCTGTTGCAAGCTTAAAATAGTGACGACCAATGTGTTACGTTCGGCAGTAGTCTCTCTTAAGGCTTCCTGTTGCTCGAGTCGGAGCTTGGAGATGATGTCGCGACTAGTATCTTCGAGGGCTTGGCGTTCTACTTGCATGAATTCGATGGCTCGTCGGCTTTCATCGCGTTCCTCTCGAAGACGCGCGGTCAGCACGGAGATTTGGTGCGGGTTGAAAGCTGCCAATTCGTTCAACTTCGACAACGTTTGAGCGTGAAGGGTCTGGAGAAAAACAAAAGAGATGTCAACAGACGATCGATCAATCTTCATTATACAGAAAGATAATCTATTGAAAGACGTACATTTACTTGGTCTAGGTCTGCCTGTAACCGCTTGATTTGTGCTACGGATGTTGCGATTTCATGTGCGTGGACTTGGGACAGTCGATCAATCTCTTCAGCCGAATCTTTCTTCAACGTACTAAGACTGAGCTCCAGCATCTGAATGATGTGCTGAGAGGACGTGAGATTGTTGACAGATTCCTGAGAAGTTGCTTGAGACGAGAGCAACTCGGCTTTGAGGTTGGAGAGTTCTAACTCGAGCGTTTTCAAATCATCGAGTGTTTGGTCATGGTTCTCGCGCGGGACGGTGCTGGATTTCAAGTGATCGATCGTGTGTTGAGCGCGGGTTAGTTGGGCTTCCAAGTCGCTTCGGATGGACTCGAATTCGTTCTGCGAAGCCGTTCGTGCGCTCGCTTGGTCCTTCTCTGTGTCAGAGACACTCTTCTGTAGATTGGCAATCGTCTCGTTGACTGAGTTCAACTCTGCCTTGAGGTGTTCGAGCTCGGCTTCGGCGTTTTTCAAATCGAGCAGAGCACGTTCGTGGACCTCACGAGGAACAGCGTTGACCATCGTCTCCTCTGAGCTAGCAGAGTGAGCATCCGATTCTTGGCCAGCAGAACTCATTGCATTGACTGTGTTCATCGCCCCAGCTGATTGGCCGGTCTCCGAATGAGGATTGTTCTCGAGAAGGAAGCTTAATCCAAGTGTGGAAGACTCCTTAGCTTGATCCACCAAACCATAAAATGAAGAGTCACTGGAGTGATCCGGTTGATTGGGTTTGTTTGCGGATGGTTCATTCAACTTGGGCGGCAGAATGTCGCATTTACTATCACCGATCATCATAGTGAAATCGATTAATTGGTTCTCGTAAATCGAAGAATCGTTCTCGACCTTGACGGACGTGTTTTTGTGATTGTCAGGATGGTCACTTGAAAATGCGAAACAAAGGGTTAGTCTTGATTTCTTTGACTAGGTAAGTTGTCTTGATGAATAAAATACGTACCGGTTTGACATTTGCTGTTGGCGATCTAACTCTTGCAGCTGTTGTTCCAATTTATCACGGACGATGTCCCATTCACGTTTTTCCTCATCATGCTGGGCGGTCGAGTTAAGTAACCTATCGAGCTCGGCTTTTGCCTTACAGAATTCGATTTCTTGGGCCTTGATTTTTTGTTCCAAGAGAAGGATCTTAGATTTTGACTGGTTGAGAGCTTCGGAGGAAGAGGGGGAGCGCGCTTGTTGTTGCAAGGAGGCTTGATAATCGGCCGTCATTTGTTCGAGATCTTGATGAAGTTTGGACTGGATGTTGTGATAATGTTGAGTGACTTGATCGACTCTGATTTGGTTCTCTCTGACAGTCTGTTCCAAATCTGATTGAGAGGCTTGAAGTTTGGTTTCTAGCTCGGTTTTGAGACGCGTCAGTTCCATCACCTGAGCAGCACTTCGGCCGGAGTCGACGTCCATCTGCTCGATTTCAGAATTCAGCTGGTCGATCTGAGCGGTAGCCTTGACTAATTCTTCTTGGCATTTGGCGCCGGAAGCCCGCAAGCTTCCGATTTCCTCCTGGGAGCGACTGAGTTGGGCGCCTAAGTGTTCCTTGACCTGTCGGACCGTTTCATCGTGTTTTTCTTCGAGCTGCTTGATTTCTTCACAGAAGCTGATGCGTTCCTCGTATTGATCCTTTTGGGATTGTTCGATTCGTAATTCAGCCTCTTCGGCGCGCGATTTCCATTGACTGCATTCTTGTTGGGTACCATTGAGCTTATCTAGTGCATCGGCCAGTTGTTTTTGAAGCTCATTGGAAGTTGGAATATCAGAGGGGCGCGTGGTATTGGAAGCTGGGGTGTGACCAAAGGGTGCAGGTCGTTGAGAGGAGACTGATGAGGTGCGGCGCTTGCGGTTGGGGGCAGGGATGTTAGTGGATTGTGGGAGCCGACTGTTGGTCTGAATGGATGCTGTAGAGTGGGTACCCAGAGCAGTAGCAGGTCGTCCGAGAGCGGAGCCGGGCCGGGCGATTTGGGAAGCCGAATTGGATGAGGTTCGAGTGGACTTGCGAAGTTGAGGTTGAGTGGTTTGGTTGGTATTTTCAGGGGCCCCATTAGGTATATTGGGCTGATTGTTCGGATGGTTGGAGGTCGAAGATGGGAATCCGAATCGAGATCGCTGGGAATAGACAAGTCATCAGTCTAAAAATGAGCTCGGAGGAGGGAGAGTCGCGTAGAAGGTATCGATCGACATACAGTATTAATAGGATGTTGAGCAGTTTCGGATGAGTGGCTGTTGTTCAGAGTGGATGATCGGGTGGTGCGTGAGTCGGCTGGAACGGATACCGAGGCGTTCGAGCCGGATCTCCTGAGTGTCGGAAGATTGGATGAATTGTTCGAGGGCATATTGGCTGGTGGATAAGGCGTTGAAGGGCCTGAAGGAAGGAAGGAAGGCTGAATGAGTTGCAGGTTAGAGAGTGTTGTTTGATTCGGGTACAGTCGCGAGGTCTTGTGAATCCTGGGAAGGGTGTGTTGTCTGAGCGCGGATTGTAGCCCAAGCGAGAATTGGTAATGATCTTGAAGGGTGTTGGTAGTTTGTTTGAAGGGTGCTGCTAGTGGTCCGGCTGGACAGTGGTGGGATCCATAATAGTTAAACTTGGAGGATATGTACTGGAGGAAGTAGTTACAGTTTATGTAAACCTCCGATGAGTGCTCGAGTTCATCTCCAGCTCACCCCGCCCTCACTTCAGCCGTGTCAAGTTGTGGTAGATGTTTACGATAGCCTGTTCAGTCCAGAGTAGACACTCCACAAAGTTCATGTTGTACTCGAGGGAAACGAATGGGAGTCACATCAAAGTCCAAGCTCACCGGATACGTGGTAAATATGATGCTGATGATGTTTGGTGGTGTATGTAGACCAGCTCGATCCGAATCCAGCAGGGCCCTACTTCATCCCCCCAACTTGGTGGTTGCAGATGTTTTCCTTCCTCCCCAAGTCACAATGAAACCCATACATAAATATCTTGTCACCCTTTCCAAGGATTGGCTGTCAGCAATTAAATGTACAGTCTCCGGCTCCCAGATGTTTAATATAGCCATCTGTTTTGAGCTCCACACCAGGATCTCAAAAATTTCAAGTCACAACAATTGGTGGAATGGTGGAAAATGGGTCTCAAAGAATGAATATGAAGAAATAATACATAATGGATGACTTCCCGTCGCAATCTAGAACCCTCCCAGAATCCAATTTACACCCCCTAGATCTTAATTTTTGGGCCCAAAAAATATTTTTTACAAGCCTTGTAGAAACCAGTCTCATGTGAGATGGTTGAAATTACGAGTGGGGTGTTAATTTAGGACTTGGGAGGGCTTAAAAAGCACTCTAAATGGCGACGGGAAGTCCTCCGATTGAGGACGATTTAGAAGGCTTTTTAGACCTCTCTCAGTCCTAAATTAACAACACAATCAACATTTCAACCAGCTCAGGTGACTGTGATTGCTGGAAGGCTCAAGAAAAAATATTTTTGATGTTGAAAAAATTAGATCTAAGGGGTGTAAATTGACTTCTGGGAGGGTCGCAGATTGCGACGGGAAGTCATCCAATGATAAACAAGATTTTAAAATTTGTAAAAAGTAAAAAGGAGAAAATCACAAAAAATGACAGCTCTTATACAGCTGTTGTGCAAATGATTGCGCTGATTTCTGATTTTTTTTTTCTCACGCGCGACTTTTTTTTTTGCCCCGATCCTCGAAGCCCGGCCCCGCCTGTGCAAAGTACCGCGGAGCACACACCGGGTGAGACCACCCGATTTCACCCGATCAGCCGAAGTTATACATTTTTTTTTCGGGCTGAGTCGGTCATGGTAATCGGTGGGTAATCTCCTGCAAATTTACCCGGCGGGCTCGGGGCTTTGAGGATCGGAGGAAAAAAAATTGTCGTGCAAGGAAAAAAAAAAAAAAGTTCAGAAATCAGCGCAATCATTTACACAATTATAGCTGTAATTCTTTCAGGAAAGGGTGAAATCTCCAAAGTGATAGTATGAGATCTGGAATGAATAATAAGAAGTGAAAGTTTGGAAAAAAATGACGACTTGGTGTTATAAAAAGGGTGCCTAGGGGGTCATTCATCAAGAAATGTGGCATTCTGGCACTGCAATCTACTAATTTTGACTGCAGGGTGTCCACCCACCATGCTCAAACTTTTTTGGGATCAATATTTTTCATTTATAATCATTCTTTTCATGTTCCAAACTTGCCCTCTGTGTGTTCACTTTTCACTCAAACAAAAAATTCAAGTTTTCAAAAAAGTTGATTTTCTTTTATCTTTTTCACAAATTTTAAAATCTTGTTTTCTATTATTATTTTTTTTCATATTCATTCTTTGAAACCCATTTTCCACCATTCCACAAAATCTTGTGACTTGATGTTTTTGGGTTCCTGCTGTGGAGCTCAAAGCAGATGGCTATAAACATCTGGGAGGAGACTGTACACTGTATTGACATCTGTTCTTGACCTTAATCATCATGCCATGGTGGGTGCTTAATATGAGCTTAGTCTTTTTCTTCATGAAGATGTTAGGGCCTGTACCATAGCACCCCAGCCAATTTTCATTTTCATTTTTGATCTTTTTATTTTTCACTAACCAAAATTCATTTTGGGGTTGGCACTGAAAATCAGGCTGCTCTACTGTGGGAAATTGAGTGTGCATGGTACACCATTTCTGGTGGAGCCAGTTTCCAACCTGGAAATTTGAAATTGAACTGAAAATTGGGGCTGTGGTACAGGCCCTTAATGTCAAAACAGGGCAGGCACACTTCTCACAAAATTGCAACTAGCTTAATTAGTCTCCAAGCAAGTCAAAAATGGTTTGAATCAAAATGATGGTCACTGGGTACTAACCATGAACTGAGTAAGAAAAATGCAGCAAATTTCTATAGTGTTTCCCCAGGTACCATTATACATACAATCCAGACCAAATCTCTTCTTTCCATTCCTTCTTCCTTATTTGGTTTACTCTCTCAAGGAAACAACCCCACCTGCTTTCTGACACGGTTCTAGTTCTTTCATAAATCACACAAGCACAAATCAAAACACAAATCCAATACCAATACCAATGATCTCAACACTTAATTCATCAGTGCACTTGGGAATAAAAAAATCATCGATTAGCTCTGGTGCATTTCTGTGAAGTCCCCCCCCCCACGTCTCATGGGGCTCATAACATGAACTGTCACAGATTATGTAATCTGAAGAAGTCCTTTGATCCTTGTCTACCAGTTCTTCCTAGCTCAGTAGAGAATTCTGGATCAAAGATCCTGTCTTGCACACTGTGGTGGTGAGAGCATGCCGGGGCCAAAGCTTTGGCCAAATTGTTTGGGCGGGTGCGGAATGCACACAGCTGACAAGGAAAGCATGTTGAGATAGTCTATTAGCATTTCCCTATGTTGTATGCTTCTAACCTATACACCCACAACTTAGCCTATATTGTACATGTATATAGCCTAGTTGTGCCCTTGGTGATTCCACTTCCTTACTGAATGATAATTACATCTTGACTCAATGTGCTGGACCATGTCCATGACATCTCGTCATCTCTCTTAGATCTTGTGTCACCTATGTTACCCTCAACAGGTTATGAGACCCATGTGCTCCGCCTGTCGCACCTTTATATTTTTTTACACATTCTCTTCCACCGGCATCACTCACTCTACCGGGATTGTTGTTCCTATTTTTCCTTTAAAAACCTCTTTGGACCCCTCGGAGCTCGTCGGAACTCGTCAGGATCCCTCAGAGCTTGTCGGACCTCTTTGGATCTCTTCAGGAGTCGTTGGGTGTCTTTGAATCTCTTCAGGAGTCGTCAGGTGTCTTTGGATATTGTTAGAAGTCGTCGGGTCTCTTTGGATTGTGTCAGGACCCATTGGAGCTCGTTGAAACCCCTCGGAACCCATCAGGACTTGTCGCTATTCTCTCAGGACTCGTTGGTACTCGTGGTTACTCATCGGAACTCTTTGGAGCTCGTTGGAGCTCATCAGAACTCATCCAAGCTCATCGGAACTCGTCAAAGCTCGCTAGGACTCGGCCTCACTTCACAGTACTCGCCGTCTCTCTACCTCACTCGTCGTTGATGTACAGGACTCGCCGTCTCTATAAAGGACTCATCGTCGCTAGACAGGCCTCATCATCGATCTGATTGGACTTGCTGCTGCGTTAATGGACTCGTTCACTGCTCAAACGGACCCGTCCTCTTCTCAAGCTCCTTGATCAACTGTTTCCAGCCTCGATCACATCTCCAGAAACAAGATCAACCCTCCAAAGCCACAATTGATTTTTTTTGCCTTTGCTTCTCAACCAAAGCAGATGTAACCGCTTGCTAACACTCTGGTTTACTGCAATTTTTTCTCCCTTTCTTATCCCCCTCAGGTGACCGATCTAATTTTTTGTTGCTGTAATGATAGTCTTACACAAATTTGACTATCAGAATATCAACCTCCGTTCTGGCGATGGCAACTCCGGTCTAGCCTTATAGGTAATTCCTACCCCACGCTTGTCTTTGAGTATATTGGCTGTTGTGGCTTTTCCCTGCTCCTTGCAAAGGATGGATCTCTACCTTGGTTCATAAACATTGTTGCCTTTCTCAGTTTGGTTGTATTTACTGACAGCTGCTTTCCCTGACCAACCCCTTTGGCCTAACCAAGCCATTCAACATCTGGGTATGTGAAGGTTGGGCAAGTAGGACTTGTTCTGTATAGAGTTATCAGCAAGGGGGTGTGTTGAGATAGTCTATTAGCATTTCCCTATGTTGTATGCTTCTAACCTATACACCCACAACTTAGCCTATATTGTACATGTATATAGCCTAGTTGTGCCCTTGGTGATTCCACTTCCTTACTGAATGATAATTACATCTTGACTCAATGTGCTGGACCATGTCCATGACATCTCGTCATCTCTCTTAGATCTTGTGTCACCTATGTTACCCTCAACAAAGCATGTGGAGCCAACGCTGCACGCGCAGGCTGAGGAAAGCGGCGGCGCATAAGTAGAAAGTATAGCTTTCCAAGGCGTGGGAAAGCAGGGGAAAAGTGGGCCAAATGCACAAGGTTCCGAAAGCTTACTGCGGGGAATGCAGGCACTGGCGGACTTTGGGGTTCACGGCCAACTGCAGACCGGGGTTAGCATATACTGCGGAGGGGCCAAAAGGGGGTGGGGGCACCAAGAGGCAAAAGCGGGGTTTGGCGCAGCCGGATCAGAGGTGGAAGCGGCGGTGGGATACCTGTCTGCATAGCGTCTGGAGTAGTACAGTGCCCCCCCAGTTGTTTATGGCACATGTATTTCTTAATTTAAAAAAAAACTATCAATGATAAATCTCCAATTTTTGGGGGAGTGGTGGATTGTGGGATGATAAGAAGGAATATGAAACAAAGAAAACAAAAACCAGAATTCATTACAGTTTAAAAAAAAATAAAAGGATCATTCCCTTTTTTTTTTTTTCAATAAGGGCATTAATAAAAAACACGGGTTTTCCGCGTTTACACGCGGTTTCTGCTGCCACGGTTTCCGCATTTAAACACGGTTTCGTAATTAATTTTTTATGGCTTATTTTTTGAGTTTTTTTGAATTTTTAAAATTGTTTCCTAGGTTTCCAAGCGCGTAGAATTTAATAGTAAAAACTATTTTCCATAAAAATGAGTTTTAATTATTATTTTTTTTTGTACTCATTTTTTCCATTAATTGTATGCATACATGTTTTTACCTTATTTTTTATGTTTTTTTAAAATTTTAAATTTATTTCCTAGGTTTTGATACATGAAGAATTCAATGGAACATCCAATTTTCTTGAAACTCAACAGTTCATGTTTAATACTGAAATTAGACACATTTTTTCACTTAAATTTCTACAGGTTAATTTTCATTCTTTTTTGACATTTTAATTTTTTTTCCTACACTTCAAGACATGTAAAAAATTATGGTAGAAACCATTTTACATAAAAATTAAAGATTGTTATTGAATACTGCGTTGGACATGTTTTTTTTGGGCCTTAATAAAAAAACGCGGTTTTTCCGCGTTTTGACGCGGTTTTGATGCGCCGCAGCACACGCGGTTTCCGCTTTTAAACGCGGTTTTTTAATTAATTTTTTATGGGTTATTTTTTGAGTTTTTTTGAATTTTTAAAGTTGTTTCCTACACTATAAAAGGCGTAAAATTTAATGGTAAAAACCATTTTTCATAAAAACGAATTTTGATTATTAATTTTTTTTTTCCACTTATTTTTCAATTAATTGTTTGCATGCATGTATGTACCTTATTTTTTATGCTTTTTTGAAATTTTAAAATTATTTCCTAGGTTTCAATGTGTGTAGAATTTAATGGTGCAATCCAATTTTTTTAAAACTCAACGGTTCATTTTTAATACTGAAATTTGACATTTTTTTCACTTAATTTTTTACAGCTTAATTCTCATCATTTTTTGACATTTTAAATTTATTTCCCACACTTTAAGACATGTAGAAAATGATGGTAACAACCATTTTTCCCCAAAACAAAAACTATACCTTGAATGCCGCATTGGACACGTTTTTTTAATTAATTCATCACTTTTTCACTTAATTGTTTGCATACATGTGTGTACCTTATTTTCTATGCTTTTTTGAAATTTTAAAGTTGTTTCCTACATTTAAAAGTGTGTTAAATTTAATGGTAACATTCAATTCCCATAAAACTCAACGGTTCATTTTTAATACTGAAAATAGACACTTTTTTCAATTAATTCTTTACATGTTATTTCTAAATATTTTTTGACATTTTAATTTTATTTCCCACACTTTAATACATGCTCAAAATGATGGTAACAACCATTTTACATAAAAATCAGCGCTTGTTACTGAATACTGCAGTGGACAGGCTTTTTTTAATGTTTTTTTGATTGATTTTTACCGGCCTGATTTTAAGCATTTTGTTTAATTTTAAATTTATTTCCTACATTTACAAATGTTTAGAATTGAATGGTGAATTCCATTTTCACTCAAAATACAAGCTTCAATCTTCATAGATGAGCGTACCCCGTTTCTTGCATAATTTGTACCATATACAAATTTTATTTGAATGCAAAATGGATACATCCATCAATTTTGAAACCTTTCAAAGTGTAGGAAATGAGCTTTAAATTCCAAAAAATAAGGATAATTGAGCGTGTAAGAATGAATTTGGGAAACACGTCAAAGGCATTATTCAAGACATAGTTTTCATTTTCATGAAAATCCATAGTTACCATAATTTCATACATGTTTGAAAGTGTAGGAAAAGAATTTAACATGTCAAAAAATAATGAAAAATAAGCTGTTAAAAATCAATTGAAAAATACGACTCATTACAGTATTCAGTATGAACCATTTAGTTTTATGGAAATTGAATGTTACCATTAAATTCTACACACTTTTTAATGTAGGAAACAAATTTAAAATTTCAAAAAAGCATAAAAAATAAGGTACACACATGTATGCAAACAATTAAGTGAAAAAGTGATGAATTAATTAAAAAAAACGTGTCAAATGCGGAATTCAAGGTATAGTTTTCATTTTGAGGAAAAATGGTTGATACCATCATTTTCTACATGTATTAAAGTGTTGGAAATAAATTTAAAACATCAAAAAATAATGAAAATTAAGCTGTAGAAATTTAAGTGAAAAAAACGTCAAATTCCAGTATTAAAGATGAACCGTTGAGTTTTGAAAAATTTGGTTTACACCATTAAATTCTAAACGTATTGAAACCTAGGAAATAAATTTAAAATTTCAAAAAAACATAAAAAATAAGGTAAAAACATGTATGCATACAATTAATGGAAAAATAAGTGGAAAAAAAAAAAAATTAATAATCAAAATTCATTTTCACGGAAAATGGTTTTTACCATTAAATTCTACACGCTTGGAAACCTAGGAAACAATTTTAAAAAATCAAAAAAACTCGAAAAATAAGCCGTAAAAAATTAATTAATAAAACCGCGTCTAAACGCGGAAACCGCGTGTGCTGCGGCGCATCAAAACCGCGTCAAAACGCGGAAAAACCGCGTTTTTTTATTAAGGCCCTTTTTTTTAAGGTTTTTTTGATTGATTTTTACCGGCTTGAATTTGATCATTTTTTGAAACTTTGAAGTTATTTCCTACATTTGAAAGTGTGTAGAATTTAAAGGTAGAATTCATTTTGCCTCAAAGTAAAATCTTCAATCTTAATATAAGAGTGTACCCCGTTTCTTGCATAATTTGTACCATATACAAATTTTATTTGAATGCAAAATGGATACAGTTATCAATTTTGAAACCTTTTAAAGTGTGGGAAATGAACTTAAAATTCCAAAAAATAAGGATAATTAAGTGTGTAAGAATTAATTAAAAAAAAACATGTGGAATGCATTATTCAAGAACAATTTTTCATTGTGATGCAAAATGTTTATTACCATCATTTTATACATGTCTGACAGTGTAGGAAAAAAATTTAAAATGTACAAAAATAATGAAAATTAAGCTCTTGAAAATCAATTGAAAAATATGACTAATTACAATAGTCAGTATGAACTGTTGAGTTTTGTGCAAATTGAATATTACCATTAAGTTTTAAAAATTTTTAAATGTAGGAAACAGCTTTCAAATTTCAAGAAAGCATAAAAAATAAGGTAAAAAAATCAATGTAAACAATTAAGTGAAAAAGTGAAGAATTAATTTAAAAAAAAACATGTCAAATGCAGGTCTCAAGATATAGTTTTTATTTTGATGCAAAACAATTGTGTCAATCATTTTAACCATGTCTTAAAGTGTAGGAAATAAATTTAAAATGTCAAAAAAGAATGAAAATTAACCTGTAGAAATTTAAGTGAAAAAATGTGTCTAAGTTCATTATTAAAAATGAACCATTGAGTTTTAAAAAAATTGGATCACACCATTAAATTCTACACACATTGAAACCTAGGAAATAAACTTAAAATTACAAAAAAACTTGAAAAATAAGGTAAAAAAAGTAATGCATACAATTAGGGTCTTCGTCAACCGACTCCCAAAATTTGGAGTTCCGACTCCCAAATTTTTGGGACATCGCAAGGACCGCCTGTTGACAGCGGCCAGGACGTCCTGACCCCATATTTTTTTTCCCCCCGGTTCCTTGGGAGTCGGACCTCCAAAAGGTCCGACTTGCTTGGAAGTCAGACCTCAAAAAAAAAAAAAAATATGAAAAAAACTGATTCCCCCTGGGGGTTCCAGCTGGGAGAGATTCCTCTTGGCCGCTGAGAGTTGTACACTCTCAGCAGCCGGGAGAGATTCCTCTCGGCCACTGAGAGCTGTACACTCTCAGCAGCCGGGAGAGATTCCTCCCGGCCACTGAGAGTGTACAGCTCTCAGCGGGCCGAGAATCCCTCTTGGTTGCTGAGAGCTGTACACTCTCAGAAGGCCGACAGGGATTCCTCTCGGCCGCTGAGAGTGTACAGCTCTCAGCAATCGAGAGGGCCCTCTTAGTCGCCAAGAGTGTACATTCCTCTCGGCCTCTGGAATGTATACACTCTCGGCCGTTGAGAGCGTACACTCTCAACGGCCGGGAGGGGTCCTCTCGGCCATCAAGAGTGTACACTCTCGACAGCCAAGAGGAATCCTCCAGGCTGTCAAGAGTGTACACTCTCGATGGCCAAGAGTAGCCCTCTCGGTTGTGGAGCATGTACCCTCTCCACAGCCAAGAGGAATCCTCCCGGCCTCCCAAGAGGGTATACTCTTGACGGCCGAGAGGAATCATCCCGGCCGTCGGGAGGTTTTTTTCCTTTTTTTCAAGCCAACTCACAACCCCCCATGGGGTTTTGAGAGTATCCACTCCCAAAAACCCCCGGGGGGAATCATTTTTTTCTTATTTTTTATTATTTTTTTCACAGGTCCGACTTCTAAGCAAGTCAAACCTCTTGGAGGTCCGACTCCCAAAAACCCGGGGGGGGGGGAAATTAGGGGGTCAGG